TACAGAAAACACAGGAACAACGTAAAAGTTTAGTGAACAGAATTAAAAACTCAAGAACTAACTAAGATTTCAAACTAAAACTGGCAACTGAGTAAATTTAAATTTCAAGACATTCATCAAAAAAATTCTGCTCTGAAGTTAGAGCATTAAACATTAGCTTCTAAAAATAGTTAAAGGTTGGCTGCAACTAATGATTATTTGAAAAATTGATTTTTCTATTTATTATTCTGACGATTAATTGAATAACAGAGTTGGGACATTTTGCAGATTTTAATTTAACTATTTAAGATGTTTTTATACATTGGAAATATTGAAATGCAAATAAAATTCTTAAATAACAAAAAAGCATTTTATTCCCTAGAATACAATAAAAACTTTCTTCTTCTAACATCAACAGGTGATCAGCTCAAGAAATATGTTCTTTATTATCTTAAATGCAAAAATCAATATGTATACAAACATCTATAGAACGATAGATCAATGTATGTTTTAAGTATTTTTGTGAATCAAGGAGGTAAAAGTGTATATTATAAAAATATACTAATTAGTGTCATTTAGTTTCCTGTTCCATCGTTTTACACCACAACAGATTTTATGCCTTTGGTTCTGATGCATCATCATTTGGCAGTTCACTGTAAATTATGACAGATTAGATGTAAACTTCAGTTTCCTGATGTGAGATACTGTTTACTGGACTCAGATGACCACATTTCCTCCAGCAGCAAAAAACAGATTCTACTGTAAATCATTGGCTGTTAAAACAGGAAGGAAACGTCCTTCTAAGAGACACATGGTCAAAATGTTCATTTCAATCCCCAAAACTGCTGAGGTTGGAAATAAACACGCATCCCGCTGAGTTGAGATACAAAACAAAGACTAAAACTCAGCCAGCATCTGCAACAGCTGGAAGGAAAACAGACAAACCTGATCTGTGCGGCTGGACCAGGAGGCTGAGAGCGGCGTCCATGACTCTGTGCCAGTCCTCTCTTGCAGCATCCCGGCCCTGTTGGACCTGCAGTTGGACCTGCTGTCCCCACATCTCTGACTGTGACTCCTTGCAGGATCTGCTTTCACTGACTGCTCCAGAACCAGAACCAGAACCGAGTCAAGACTTCGGACGAGGATCCGACTGAGTCCCCTCTGCTGATGAGAAGCTGGAGTCAGCGCACTGGAGCCCACAGGCCGAAAAACCCGGAAGTCCCGCCTTGATCAATCACAATAGCGTTTAGCATATCCACCATGTTGTGAGTGGCATGTTCTCATTTAAACCAATTTGGCAATATTTAGAAACAGTTTTCCCATCTCTCCTTAAAATGATGTTCAACTAATTGCATTAAAAAGTAGAACAGAACAGAACAAACTACAATAAAAGCTTTTTTAACTTATGCTCAGTGAGTGAAAACTTGATTCTCAGGCATCATAAAATACAATTTAAATCAACCCATAAACAAACAACAGAAAATATCAAGTAAATTCACAATCTTCATCAGAACAAACTAAACCTCCGACAGTCTAAAAACAGAAACAATAATAATTTTTGGTGGATTATCACCATCAGTGATCTGAATTATATTTATATTAATATTGAATTTTGCTTCCTGTTCTAAAGTAGAAAATGAAATAATTTAAATTCCTCTTGTGTTGTACCAAAGACCTAAAACCTAATGATTGGTCAACCCCTATACAGAACCACAGCAGCAGAGACTGGAGACTCATTGCTGAGAGGCCTGTAAAACATGGTCTGTAAAATATGTTCTGTAAAACATGGCCTGTAAAACATGGTCTGTAAAATATGTTCTGTAAAACATGGTCTGTAAAACATGGTCTGTAAAATATGTTCTGTAAAACATGGTCTGTAAAATATGTTCTGTAAAATATGTTCTGTAAAACATGTGCACATGTTCTGTAAAGCATGTGCACATGGTTTGTAAAACATGGCCTGTAAAACATGTGCACATGTTCTGTAAAACATGTGCACATGGTTTGTAAAACATGGCCTGTAAAACATGGTCTGTAAAGCATGTGCACATGGTTTGTAAAGCATGTGCACATGGCCTGTAAAACATGTGCACAAGGTCTGTAAAGCATGTGCACATGGTCTGTAAAACATGTGCACATGGTCTGTAAAGCATGTGCACATAGTTTGTAAAACATGTGCACATGGTTTGTAAAACATGTGCACATGGTCTGTAAAGCATGTGCACATAGTTTGAAAACATGTGCACATGGTCTGTAAAGCATGTGCACATAGTTTGAAAACATGTGCACATGGTTTGTAAAACATGGCCTGTAAAACATGTGCACATGGTCTGTAAAGCATGTGCACATAGTTTGTAAAACATGTGCACATGGTCTGTAAAGCATATGCACATAGTTTGAAAACATGTGCACATGGTTTGTAAAACATGGTCTGTAAAACATGGCCTGTAAAACATGTGCACATGGCCTGTAAAACATGTGCACATGGTCTGTAAAACATGTGCACATGGTCTGTAAACTATGTGCACATGTGCACATAGTTTGTAAAACATGTGCACATGGTCTGTAAACTATGTGCACATGTGCACATAGTTTGTAAAACATGTGCACATGGTCTGTAAACATGTGCACATGGTCTGTAAAACGTGCACATGGTCTGTAAACTATGTGCACATGTTCACATAGTTTGTAAAACATGTGCACATGGTCTGTAAAACATGTGCACATGGCCTGTAAAACATGTGCACATGGTCTGTAAACTATGTGCACTTGTGCACATAGTTTGTAAAACATGTGCACATAGTTTGTAAAACATGTGCACATGGTCTGTAAAACATGTGCACATGGTCTGTAAAACATGTGCACATGTTCACATAGTTTGTAAAACATGTGCACATGGTCTGTAAAACATGTGCACATGGCCTGTAAAACATGTGCACATGGTCTGTAAACTATGTGCACATGTGCACATAGTTTGTAAAACATGTGCACATGGTCTGTAAAACATGTGCACATGGTCTGTAAAACATGTGCACATGGTCTGTAAAACATGTGCACATGGTCTGTAAACTATGTGCACATGTTCACATAGTTTGTAAAACATGTGCACATGGTCTGTAAAACATGTGCACATGGTCTGTAAAGCATGTGCACATAGTTTGAAAACATGTGCACATGGTTTGTAAAACATGTGCACATGGTCTGTAAAACATGTGCACATGGCCTGTAAAACATGTGCACATGGCCTGTAAAACATGTGCACATGGTCTGTAAACTATGTGCACTTGTGCACATAGTTTGTAAAACATGTGCACATGGTCTGTAAAACATGTGCACATGGTCTGTAAAACATGTGCACATGGTCTGGGCTTGTTTTTACAGACCATTTGCTCATCAAAGGAAAATTATGCTGCATGTTGAAACCATAAGTTATGGTTTTAAGCTCCTCTCACACTTCCTGCTTCTGCTCATCATAGATCATCTTTTGTCACCTGGTTTTAATTTACTTTTGTTTCTGAAACTGACCAGCCGCCTGCTGACCACAGGATGTTCTGGAACCCGACCCGGTTCCTGACGGCCCAACAAACTGTTTGAACTTAGTGTCAAAGTTCATTCATCACCATCAGAGAGCTTGATGGTGGGTCTGTGTCTGTATGAATCATTTACATAAAAACACAAGAAGTGAAGAAAAATCTTGTTTTATTGTTATACTTGCAGCAGAAGCATTTAATTTTATTAGTCACATGATTTTACAAATTGCTAGAAAAAAAAAACAAAATTACAGACTTATCATCTTGCACGAATAAAATCCTTCCAGTGGATTTGACTGAACCTGACTAAAGATTCAGAGACGGGAGGATCCGACCTCCAGCTTCCATCCACTGCACTAAAACATGGCAGGAATAAAAACAACAGAAAAAGGAAAACCAGAAACAAATCTGAATCATTCCCAACAATTTAAATATCAAATAACAGAATAATGTGCAACAATAATCTGACAGAGAGAAAAATGCAGTAAGATTGGCAGGTCAGCTTCCTCCTTCAACTTCCTTCTCGCCCTGGATGAAGGCGGATGCTGCTTTCCTCTGCTCCCTCCCTGCCCTATTGCTCTGTTTTATCTTAGTACTTAGAAACAGTTTATTACTCATTTATTACTCATTACTTTTACAAAGTCCAGAGGATGCTAACTCACACTCATCCAGCGACCCAGAACAGGGATCAGAACAAACTTAGTATCCAGAAAAATTATCTTAGCAATAACTTTATTCTCCTGTTCTTCCAAACCAGCAAAGGAATCAGACCAGTGGATTCTTATTTACACTTATACTAACCTATCAACCCTGAATAGGAGAATCTAGTTCATTAACTTTGGATCAACATTATGAGCTTTTTCTTCTTTTGCTCTTTCCTTTGGTTTATTTTGTTTCCTTTTAATTCCAGTAAAGCACTTTGTATTGCCTTCTTGCTGAAAATATATAAATAAAATTACCTTTTACCTTTAAAAAGTAATTTCAAAATGACAGAAGTAGAAAAAAGCTGCCACAAGGTGGCAGTACAGCTAAAGCAGAAGAAGCTGAGAGAAAGTTGAATTGTTTTAAATGCATTATGTTGCTTGTCTTAAATTTTTGAATCACTATAATTTTTATAGATTGATTTGAATTGAAAATGTGGAAGATTAAAATCAATAAACTGCCAATGCTATTTAAACACAAACTTTTTCTCCAGAAAATCAATAAAAAAAATCTGTTCAAATTAATTTCTAAATAACTGAAATTATCCTTTAATTTTGTCTTGTCTTAAGGCAGTTTTCATCTTTGATGAGCAGAACCAGAATTTAAGTTTGAACCCAGAGTTTTATTTGGGTCATAACTTAAGGAATATTAAAATTTTCTGAGATTTTGGGTTTTTATTCTGTCAAACAAAATAATCAAAATAACAAGAAAAAAACGCTTGAAATATTTCTCTGCTTCTATGAGTTTCTCTTTTTAATGAGCGATAAAAAATGTGAATCTTTTTCAATATTGAATTTGTCTAAGATGTGGTTGTGTCTGAGCTGCTCTCCTTGCTGCTGGCAGGTTCGACGTCCTCATCAATCAAGTCTGCATCGGGGCTCCAGTCAGAGGCTACAGTCTAGAAATTATAATAATAAAACATCAGACAAACTGAGCCTTCATAAGCCAGATGCAAACATTTTGGTCCAGATTTAATTTTAGAATAAATCACCTTCGTCTGTTGGCCGCCATAACTTCTCATCTCCAAACCTGTGGAGCAAATACTTATTTATTGTGATGAATCATTAAAATAACATTTTAGATCAACAAATTTTCAGTTTTGAAATAGAAAAAACAACAAAGATAGAAAAACGAACATCATTTAAAATAAATCCTAAGTATTACAAAGCATCTAAAGTAATGAGACAAAAAGAGGATGTGCAGACGTCTGGGTTTCAACACTTCATTAAGTTTTATTTTCATTATTCATTTATTTGCAAATCATAACAGAAAACCTGTAAGCATGAAGAGCAGTGTGGCTGCGTTCTCACCTCTCTCAGATCTCTTCTCCTTCTGGAAGCGATCAGAGCTGCTGATAGCAGGAGGACGAGGATGGACAGAATCACAATGACCACAATCAGAGTATAATCTGCAGAGATTAACAAAACGGTTTTTACTGACACCTTCAGGCGGATCATGGTACTGACTATCCACATTATACTCAATAATTCTTTATTCCAGACTTCAACCAAGGTAACAAACTCCCAGCTGTGTTGAAAGTCGCCCTCCGGTGAAAAAGTCTTTAACTGATACTGAACTGATGTACCTGTAGATTCTGCTCTGTAATTCTGGTCCACAGGTGACATCATCAGTGCTGATATATTTGTTTGTTTGTATATATTACTTAAACTTACCACGTAAGATGATGATATTGAAATCCACATGTGCTTTTGTGGCGTAGTCTGAACTTGAAAAGCATCTGTATCGTCCAGAGTCAGACCTGGTCAGATTCTGAATGCTCACATAAAAAACATCTGAAGATTTGAAATAGCTACGTCCGATGCTGTATCTGCCGCTCTGAGCTCTGACTCCATGGGTGTAAAGAAGAATGTTTTCTTCTTCTTCACATTCTCCTCTGCAGAAATATAACCACCTTCTAGAGGAATTGAAGGAGCAGGCGACTGTCAGTGAGCTGCCAGGTACTTTATAGAGGTCATGATCTTTGCTTTCATTCAGCAGAGCTGTTAAAATAATCATCAGTTAGTTTCTGATCTCAGCATGATGCAGTCTGATCACATTAATCTGCTGCCCAGTTCAACAGTCTGGAAGAGTTAAACCAGCAGAAACTGGATTCATATAAATCAATTATTTATATCAAAAAGTAAAGACATGTTTTACTTTAATACAAAATATATTATTGTATTATGTATTTTTACTTAATTTCTTCATTTCTTTGGGAACAAAAATCAGCTTATTAGAAACTCACCTTCTCCAACAACAACCATGAATTTACAAGGAGTGTCTCTCAGACCAGCATTGTACAGTCCTGAGTCAGAAGGGGTCAAATTATCGACTGTGACAGTCAAATTGTAAGCCTTCTCACGAACTCTTTGAGAAAATTTAATGCTGTTTCTTCCTCTTTCTGCTTTATTGGATGTTGTGTTAAAAAGAACATTTTCTCCCTGACAGTTTTCTCTGCAGAAAATCCTCCTTCGTCCTGGTGAGAGATCGGTGCATATAATGTCAAGTTTTTCTCCAGGTAGATAATGGTAATGGTTCATGCTTTTGAAAGAACTGCAGTTCTCAACCAGTAGAGCTACAAAACAGAGACAAAGAACTGTTAATATCAGAACTTCCTGTCAGGAAATACAATCTAAGCACATTTTCTACATCCAATAAACACACACACACACACACACACACACACATATATATATATATATATATATATATATATATATATATAAAAATTCCCTTCTCACCCACCGCGGGTGGTTCTTATTCTCTGAGCTCGGGTCCTCTACCAGAGGCCTGGGAGCTTGAGGGTCCTGCAGTAGCTTGGCTGTGCCAAGGACTGCACATTTCTGGACTGAGATGTCTGATGTTGTTCCTGGGATCTGTTGTAGCCATTGATCCAGTTTGGGGTTACTGCCCCGAGGGCTCCGATGACCACAGGCACCACTGTGGTCTTCACCTTCCAGGCCCTCTCCAGTTTTTCCCTGAGGCCCTGGTATTTCTCCAGTTGCTCCTTTTTCCTGATGTTGCAGTCGCTTGGTATTGCTACATCTACCACAACGGCTTTCCTCTGATGTTTATCCACTATGACAATGTCTGGTTGGTTCGCCATTACCATTCTGTCTGTCTGGATCTGGAAGTCCCACAGGATCTTAGCTCTGGCGTTCTCCACCACCTTTGGGGGTGTTTCCCACTTTGATCTCGGGGTTTTCCAGTCCATATTCTGCACAGATGTTTCTGTACACTATGCCTGCCACTTGGTTATGTCGCTCCATGTACGCTTTCCCTGCCAGTATCTTGCACCCTGCTGTGATGTGCTGGACTGTCTCAGGGGCCTCCTTGCACAACCTACACCTTGGGTCTTGTCTGGTGTGGTAGATCTGGGCCTCTATTGCTCTGGTGTTTAAAGCATGTTCCTGGGTGGCCAGGATGAGGGCCTCTGTGCTGTCCTTGAGTCCAGCTTTTTCCAGCCATTGGTAGGATTTACTGATATCAGCCACTTGGGTTATTTGCTGGTGGTACATCCCATGTAGGGGCTTGTCCTCCCATGATGGTATCTCTGGCACCTCAACCTCCGTTCCCTGTTGTCTGAGACATTCGCTGAGCACATTGTCTGTTGAGGCTTTGTCCTGATGTATTATGGATCTTAGTTGTTTCGTCCTGGACAGTGGTTCTCACACTCACTAGTCCTCTGCCTCCGTCCTTGCGGCTCGTGTACAGTCTCAGGGTGCTGGATTTGGGATGGAACCCTCCATGCATGGTTAGTAGCTTTCTAGTCTTAATATCTGTGGCTTTTACCTCCTCCTTTGGCCAGCTAATTATTCCATCAGGGTATCTGATTACTGGCAAGGCATAGCTGTTTATCGCACGGATTTTGTTCTTGCCATTGAGCTGGCTTCTCAGGACTTGCCTTGTCCGTTGGAGGTATTTAGCAGTGGCTCCTTTCCTTGTGGCCTCGTCGAGGTTGCCATTTGCTTGTGGTATACCTAGGTACTTGTAACTGTCCTCTATGTCTGCTATTGTTCCTTGTGGGAGTGAGACTCCTTCTATGCGGATCACCTTCCCCTCTTTGTGATCAGCCGACCACACTTCTCTAGTCCGAATGACATCCCAATGTCAGTGCTGTAGATCCTGGTGGTGTGGATCAGTGAGTCGATGTCTCGCTCACTCTTGGCATACAGCTTGATGTCATCCATGTAGAGGAGGTGACTGATGTTGGCCCCATTTTTGAGTCGGTATCCATAGCCAGTCTTGTTGATAACTTGGCTGACGGGTTCAGGCCTATGCAGAACAGCCACATTTGATGGACACTTGTGCAAGTGGTTTGCAGTTGGCTTCAAGGGTGGTTTTCCACAGCCTCATCGAGTTTGCAATGAAGGCTCTCAGAATCCTGTTGAAGTTATACATCTCTAGGCATTCAATGATCCAAGTATGTGGCATTGAGTCATAGGCTTTCTTGTAATCGATCCAAGCCATGCACAGGTTGGTGTGTCAGGTTTTGCAGTCTCGGGCAACTGTGCGGTCTACGAGGAGTTGGGTTTGGCTCCTCTGGTATTTACACCGATACCCTTCTGTGCCGTGCTCATGTGTTTATCCATGTGTTTGCTTATCTTGGCCGCTATGATGCCTGACATGAGCTTCCAGGTTGTGGAGAGGCAGGTTATTGGTCAGCGTCAGTCAGTATCCTGTGGCAGTGAGTGGAGATATAAAGGCCATGTTTCACCAGATCCACCTGCTCCTGAAGACTGTCCCCTGTTACGGTTCCTGTGGAGAGATGGTGAAGAGAGGCTCCCAGATGTATATGAGTGGAAAGTTTTGCCCTTTGGGACATGTAGCCCTTGTTGTGCTACGTTTGCTCTTCAGAAACACGTGAAGGAGCACCAAGACACTCATAAGGACATCTATGAATCCATCCATACAGCCTTTTATGTGGACAACTGTCTGCAGTCCCTTTCTGACCCACAAGAGGCTAAGCTGCTCATTGACAGGATGAGAGAGTTGCTATTACAAGGTGGATTTTAGATAAGACAGTGGGCTAGCAACCTCCCTGCGGTGATTTCCCATCTGCCCAGCATGGCTAGGTCAGAAAGTTGTGAGTTATGGTTGAACTTCAAGAGTCTTGATCCGCAGGAATCGACATTGGGTCTCAGCTGGCACTGCCCAACTGATGTTCTGGGATACAAGCATCGCTCGGTGTCCTACACAACTGTCACACTGCGCAATATTTATAAGGTGCCAGCCAGTCAGTCTGACCCATTGGGTTATATCTGTCCATGCACCACAAGAGCCAAGCTCATTGTGCAGGCTCTGTGAAATACAGAAAGAGGATGGGATGAGCCCATAGAAGGACATTTGCTTCAGTCGTGGGTGGAATGGGAGGAAGAACTGTCTAATCTCCAACATATCATCATCCCCCGCTGCTACAGTTCTCACAGCATCACTGGTGCTACTAATGAGGTTCATATCTTCTGTGACGCCTCTGAGAGGTCCTATGGAGCTGTTACCTATTTGAGAGTCACAGAGCAACAAGCACACATCTGAACTCCTTCATTATGGCACGCTCAAGAGTTGCACCCCGGAAACGGGTGCGATTCCCGACTAGAGCTGTGTGGTGCGTTGACAGGATCCCAACTTGCCAAAGTACTCCAAAGTGAACTCTCTTTACCTCTGCACTCTGATATCTGTGGACAGATTCTACAACAGTGTTAAAGTGGATCTGGTCCAGTTCCTGCAGGTACAAGGTTTTTGTTGGGACTCGGATTTGTGAAATACAGGAGTTAACCCTCTCAGAGCAGTGGGGGTATGTGAACTCTAGTGAAAATCCAGCTGATGACATCACAAGGGGGAAATCACTGTCAGAGCTCACCATCTCCAGCCGTTGGTCACAAGGCCCCACTTCATTACACAGACTCCAGACGCCTGGCCGAAACCTCCAACAGAGTCTACGAATTGTGACAGTGAAGAACTCAGAAAGACCGCTTTCTGTAGCTTCACATCCACATCTCACAGTCTACCAGATCCTGCACAGGTCACATCGTTAGAGGACCTGATTCTGGCCACCCACCAATCCCTGACTGGGGCGCTGATAACCTGACTATGTTGCCGTTCTTGCTCGCATAGTTATTAATGTACCTTTATTGATTTTTCTTTTTCAGATAACCACCCACACACACACATACATAAACTCATCTACTGTACCACCTTTCATCCCATCTTCATCGATGCTTGTCAGTCTACAATAAACCTTCGAAGCTGCATCTGCGGAGTTTGCCTATTCCTTCTAACCGAGGAAGATTCAATTGATGGGAGATCTGAATTAGTGCCTGTCTGACGCACACAGCGTTCTTACAAAAATGTTTAAAATAAATAGCTTTATGCATAAAACTTAAAAGTTCAGAACTATGCACAGACGCCTGTAGGATGTTATCGGAGGGCAGCAGTGCCTGCAGCTGGACGGCTGAACCTGCTCTGCCGACCTGGAGGTTTTCCTCCAACTAAAAATAATAATAATAATTTTTGAAGTTTTTCTTATGAAACCTGCTTTACATTGAACAAATTTGTGAGAAATAAAGATCTTATGTGTCGAAACATCTTGTATGTAGCGCACATCTGAGTCTGTGGGGGTCAAAGGGCACGGCAAAGCGTAAATCTCATTGGTCAGTTTGCTTTTGTTTATTTGGCGGCTTGGCGCTTTTTCTGTAAGCTAAAGGGTTTCGCTGTTTTAGCGGTTCAGGTTTGTGCGACGCGCACATGATGCGGTTGGAGAGGCGTTGTGCTCCTGCAGGTCAGGTGCAGTGATAGTTTTGTGCAAACATTTTTTAGACATCTGCTGATGTCAGCCAACAGGTGACCCGTCAAAAAAAGCTAATAAATCACCGACCCCACCAGAACCGTGCGCTGTAAAAAGCTCAGGCTGATCTCAGAACAACGGGACATGCACAAAATAAATGGGGGATAAAATGAAGAAAACTTGGTCCTTTGAGTAAATTCCTATTTTTTAAAAGTCTGCATCAATTCATCCATCCCTCCTCAAGTGGGGAAGCTGCACAACTTAGAAGAGAACTTGACAGTAAAACCGGACGCAAACTGCTGAAGGAGAAAGAACTGTTTCAAAAGATGGCGGATTCAGGTGATTGAAAGTCTGTTGAACAACTAAAGATGGAAAGAACAACAGCAAAGAGGTTGTTGACTCGATTGATCAACAACATAACTCGGATGCATGAGGACATGACTGAAGAGGACTAAGGACAGTTCCACAAGCTCAACATAGAGGCTGGAAAAAGTAATGACGACAAATGATGATCTCGAAGCAAGTCTCATCGCAGAATTGGAATCCAATTTCAGTGAAGATGATGGAATCACACTGACTGAACAGCAGAAATCTGACCTGGAAAAGACTGCAAAGAGTGTGAAGAAAAAGTAAGAGAAGTCAAAGGCTTAATCCAGGAGACCCTGTGGAGAACCTTTGAAAGACTGAACTGTTAGTTGCACTTCAAGTAGCAAATCAGAATGTGAACATGCTGCCACTATCGAACCAGGAGTGGAAAAGGAAGCATATGACTTCACCTTTAACCACCTGAGGGAACTCCTGAAGGCTGCAAAAGAAGCTCATTGTTACTGGAAAAGATGGATCCCTCATGGCGCACGGGACGAAATCCAAGATCGTCTGAGAGGATTGGAACTTAGTGTCCCCAAGCTGGTTTCTAGGACAGCAGGTTCATTCATGCAAAGCTAAAAGATGAAGAAAAGAAAGAGCAAACTTCCCAAAATTATTCTTTGCCAACCATCAAGCTGAAACCAACGTCTCTCCCAAAGTTTCCTGGAAACAAACGTGACTTTTATAGATGGAGAAAAGACTGGGAAGCACTTCAAAAACAAGGAGAACCAACTGGTTTCAAAAGAAGTGAAGAAAGTGCAGCTGTTGGACAGTCTGGATGAGAACCTCCTATAGCACTCCAGAAGATATTTTTCAAGTCCTTGAGAAACCGCTATGGAAATCAGACCTCTATTTGCAATTGAAATTGTGGAAGAGCTACAGAATTCCTGCAGTTAGAGGTCACCAGCCAAGAAGAATCGTGGATTTGATCCAAGCTGTTGAAAAAGCTCTTAAGGATTTAAGTGACCTTGGAAATACTGGAGCTATTAAGAACCCTCTGGTTACAAAGTCAATTGAAACGTAAGCTCCCTGAAGTTTTGAAGAAGGATGGCTCGTTTACGCAAGCTGATTAAAGGGATGCTGTGACACTAGAGAATCGAATTTGATCACCTCCTTGCATTTCTGAAAAATCAAGAAAATATTTATGAGCAACTAGAGCAACTGAGAGAGGAAGAGTCAAGTAGACGAGAGACCCAAATGGAGCAAAGACATGCTAGTGGGCACAAATGCATCTAAACTAATGGAACCTTGGGAGGTGGTTAATAGTAGGGGTGAAGGGCCCTATGCAATTAGAAGCCTCCTAGGATGGGTTGTGAATGCTTCCTCAGAAGGTTGCAAGGATCTTGAAAATGGCTACCTTCAGTTCAAGTCAACAGAACTACAGTGATAAAATTGAAGAGCTTCTGACAAGCCAATACAACTATGATTTTATTGAGAAGTCCTTCACAGAACAAGAGGAAATGTCGAGAGGAACAGAAATTCCTGGATATAATGGATGGTTCTGCACAGCTAGAGAATGGACATTACAAACTAAATCTGCCTTTCAAAAGGGAAGAACTCTATGCCAAACAATATTTCAGTCACTTTGCAGCGCATACTTGGTTTGAAAAGGAGATTTAGAAGGAACAAAGTGTTCATGAAGAGTATGCAAACTTCATGACTAACTTGCTGCTCATGAAGGGTAAACCAGCCTTTCCGCCAGGACATTTCGACAAAAGGGATCTCTATGCTAAAAGGAGGTGGAAACAAATCCAATATATTTCAGATCTCTTTTGGAAACGGTGATTCGGGAATATCTACCCTTATTACAAGAACGACAAAATGGATAAAGAAAAAAAGGTGCTTCATTCCTGGAGATGGACTCCATGGACTCCACAACAACTCGAGGGTCTTGAATATTAGGGAAAGTTATTAAAACCTTTCCAGATAAAAAGGGTCTTGTACGAGTTGTTCAACTGCAAACAAAAACAAGCGTTATTGAAAGACCTGTAACAAAAAGTTGTCTATTATGTGAAGCTACAAACTGAAAAACTGGTAGAATAATGAATGCATAACTTGATTTAACTCTTATGTATATTTGTATAGAGAAATAGTTTTATTTTTGGCTCCTTTATTTTACGTTGGTAATTGCTATGTCTTCTGCCACACGCAATTAGGGGTTGGCGTGTAGCAGCCATTGTTATCACCACCAGAGGGCGTATTGTTTTGTTTTCTGAGTGTCTGAGGGGGAAGGGTTATTTAAGGTCAATCGTAATGGTGTTCAGGTGTTGACCATTGAGAAGAGGACCACACAGTTTTTTACTGTGTTTGGTTGAGGGTTATATGACGAACTTATGTGTATGTAAAATGGCAATTATGATGAAAGACTTTGATACAAAAGAAGATCGGCATTCTGAATCTTAAAACTAAACGCACGTAAAAAACGAACTACAGAGGCAACCACCAGTAAGTAGCTCTAAAATAGAAGATTTTGGACGCTACACACCCGTCTCAGACCCAAATCACCAATTATCTGTTTTATTACTGAGGGAGAAAACCACAGAAACCAGTGGTTTCACTGGGAGACATGGAAACTATGGAACCAGAACCGTTCTGCTGTGGGGAACCGACCACGGCTCCACCATGAAGGAGGAGGAAACTTCCAGGTTTATCAACGTTTCACTGATTCACTTTCTGTGTCCTGGTGTTTGAAGGATGGAAAGTTACCGAAATATTAATAACATTTACTCACAAAGGACGAAGAAGCAGAACAGGATGCGACCGGCCATCATGCTGGTTTCCTGTTTCTTCTTTCGTAGATCTTCTTCATTTGGAGTGTAACTCGGATAGGAAACAAACTTAAGAGAAGTTGATAATAAATAGTGAGGATAAGTTCATTTGTTCTATTTTTTATTTCAATTAACATTTCAAAGTTTATGTAGAGTTATTAAAAACATGTTAACATTGTTTAAAATAAGTTATGTGTACTTTGTTGGAAAATTGTCAGAGAACATGGTAGTGTCCTACAGGAGTACGGTCAGTGAAGGTAGCACAGGTGCGTAAGGAGCATAGCAGAAGAGGAGCCGTTGTTTTAAGAAGTTTCTAGACGTGAGTAAAACTTGTCTTCAAGAGAAGTTAGATAAGCTAACAGGACATAGTTACGTCTCGGCTAAAAACGGTCTAACTGTGTGTTAGTTTTCTTAGTTGTAGTATACTCACTCTAAAGTTAGAGCAAAGCTAACTCAGCTGTTGCTATAACGGACTTTTGTAAGCAGCTGTGTTGCTGTTAGAGTAGCACTTAAAAGCGTTACAGAAGATCGTTACCGGACTGGTTAACGAGGACTCTGACTCCAGATAGTCAGTCTGAGTGCCCGCGGCGCTCAGAGTACCTCTGGCACCGTGGGAAAGGAGAGCCGTCGATGTGGAGCACGTGGAGAGCACCTGAAGGCCACACAACTGCTTTTTCCCTGAGCTACTGTTTTTGGATGGATTAGAGGGCTCGCTGGACACTGGGTGAAGTATCGCTTGGATTCGTTGGAGAACAAGGTACTGAGTTGACAGTCAATATCTGGACTGTTGAGTCGGAGGGAATCCTGCTTCCTGAACATCTTAACAGGCCTGCAACGTAGGCCTGTTTGTTTGCTGCCGGCATTAGCTTAGTTTGAAATACTGGGTTATATAACTAGTGTTTACCATGTATGTGTAAATTTACTGTTCTGTAGGAATATTGTTTTAGTTTTCTGTTTTGTCTAAACCTGTCATTTCCTTATTTATTATTATTATTGCTAATTAAAGGAAGGTTCTTATAAACTATTGTGCTTGGTGTGTAGTATAACTCACTTTAGTTGAGTTCAGGGCTGATCGACCCATGTAAGAGCCAAGTGATCTAAATGAACATTACTGATGTGCAGGAGCTCACAGCTGTGACTCTTTGGGTGGTGGGTGTGTCGTAGGTGGGCGTGTCTGTCACTTAAGTATGTTTGAGAGCCATACGGACTTTGTTTGCTTTGTAGGAGAAACGGGTGCGCCGGTGGAGGGTCATAATTTCTGTTGACCGTGATGAATGCCGTTTGTTGTAGATATTGTAGATTTGGACTGGTCAGCATGTCGGTTAAGATCTGAAGAAGGAAGTTTGATCTATGGAATAAATTGATGATGTCAACAAAGAAAGCGGCTTGGAAGTTATTAAAGCAGGCGTCTGACAGCCTCAACTTCACCGAGTTAACCTGTGCGACTCTCTACGTCATTGTTCTCCAGGATTAGAGGACTAATGTCTCAGCCAGATCTAGAGAAACTCATCCATGCGTTTATCTTTAGTCACATTGATTATTGTAACAGCGTCTTCACAGGCCTGTCCAACAAATCAATCCTCCAGCTGCAGCTGATCCAGAAGCTGCTGCTCCTGTTCTCACTAGACCCAGGAAGATAGAGACATAACAGCGGTTTTAAAGTCCCTCCACTGGCTCCCTGTAGCTCAAAGAATAGATTTTAAAATACTGTTGTTAGTTTATAAATCACTGAACGGTTTAGCACCACAATACATCAAAGATCTGCTGTTGTTGTATCAACCTTCCAGACTCTCAGGTCTTCTGGTTCTGGTTCTGCTCTGCATCCAGAACCAGAACCAAGAGAGGAGAAGCAGCTTTCAGCATCTATGCACCACAAAACTGGAACAAACTTCCAGACAACTGTAAAACAGCGGAAACCCTGACTTCTTTTAAATCGCAATTAAAAACACACCTGTTTAGAATTGTTTTTGAAATGTAATATGAAACAATGTATTGTCTATTATATGTTGCATGACTTTGTGTTCTTGTGTTTATGATGTAAAGCACTTTGAAATACTTTGCTGAAATGTGCTATACAAATAAAATTTGATTGAATTTGATTGATTTAGTTTTACGGCACGAATAACCCAAAATCCTATCGAGAATATACAGAAACATGGAACCCAAACCCCACTTATTTCCAGACTCGTTTAAGTGAGGGCTACAGGAGGATGTCCTTTTTTGGATGTGATAAAATATCATGTCTCTTGTGCTTTTCTCACATTTCTTAATTTCCTTCTTTAAACTTGACCCAGCACTTCCTGTTCAGGCTGAACTGAAACTATTTAAATTATTGCAAGTTGTTTCTGATTTTGCTGTAAAGTTTTAGTTCTCACCACTTTAACTAAGATCAGTGCGTGTTCCTGTTTAATGTTTTACTTAAACCTGAAGTTTAAGGGTTCTGGACCGCCAGGGTTCTGGACCGCCAGGGTTCAGGACCGCCAGGGTTCTGGACCGCCAGGTTTTTCAGTCAGACCTGCTGCAGGAATCAAAGTTTCTCTGATCTGAGATTTGAGTCCTGAGGTGATAGAAGGCTGACTTTGGAACCGGCTTCATGTGGCTCTGGAGGGTCAGGTCAGAGGTCAGAGCACCTGAAATCTCTAGTTTTCAGTTGGACCAATTGAAGCTGTGTGTTGACTCTAGATCTATACCTCTAGGTCGTTCCTCTTTAGACTCAAAGGGAACAACTTCAGCTTTGTTTCTGTTCAGCTGCAGCAAAATGTGAGCAGCAGATGTTCAGCAGATGTTCAGCGGCTTTTCAGCAGACGTTCAGCAGATGTTCAGCAGATGTTTAATCGTTTCCACATCGTTCTCCTAGTTCTTTGGTCTTTATGGTTTTCTTTTTCCTCTCTAAAGAACCTCAGATACCAGAAACTCTGGACTCTGTTCATTAATTAGTCAGTTGTGTAACGTCAAGAATGTGGAAGACAGATGTGGTTTGAGTGTTTCTGTGAGGTTCTGCTTACTGGCTGCTGAGACGTGTTTGCAGGTCCAGAGCTGCAGCTTCGCTTGGTTTCGGTTTCTGTTGGTTTGGTGTTTGTGGTTTCGGTGTAAGCTGAGTAGATTTCCACATCAGCAGCTTTCCACTCATCAGCTTCTTCTGTGACGACTTCATTCATTTTGGAGCTCTTAATTAAAAGAAGTTAGTTTTTATTCACCTCAGTTTCAAAAACAGCTTTTAAGAGCTTCCAAAATGTTTTCATGCTCACCTCAGTCGCAGGAGGAGAATCTGAAAAAACATTGCAGACTTTAAACTCTTTGTTTTCTAAATCTTCTTTCTATAGATTTATGGCTTCTGCATTTTCATTCTTCTTTAAATGTATCTGTGTTTTCTAAAGTTCATGGAATATTTCAGCTACAACTACAGACTGAACACACACAGTGATTCTAACATGTCACTTTACAGCAAACTGCATTTTTAATCTGTGTTTTTGCCGGACCAACACCAGAATCACCTGATGGTCTGATGAACCGGTGATAAGAAAGTTATTGATCTTAATTGATCTTTATTGTCTCGAGGCAACTGGAGGTTCGGTGAATTTAAACCACAAACATTTGGATCATGTGGAGCCACAAGAATCATGAAGCCAAGCGGTTTTAATTTATTGATCAGTGTAGGTGTGTGCGTGTGTGTGTGTGTGTTGTCCCCACAATTGATGATAAAAGTAGTAGTCCCCATAAACGATGGAAACCAGTGTGTGTGTGTGGTGTGTGTGTGTGTGTGTGTGTGTGGTGTGTGTGTGTGTGTGTGTGTGTGTGTGTGTGTGTGTGTGTGTGTATCTTGCCTGTCTCAGCTCCATTGGATTTTTTTCTCCAGTACAGCAGCAGAGCCAGAGCAGTGATGACGAAGGGCGGAGGCAGGACTGTCAGCAGAACGTCTGCAGAGGTTTGTAGAGACAATCTGGTTGGTTTGGTGGCACTGACTGCTGCTGTCGCAGACCAACAGCGCCCCCTAGGCTCTCTCTCATGTCTTAGCACAGTATTAATACATCTTTTCAATAAAATTAGCTTTGCCTGAAATGATTAATCAGATCAATTGTGATTAATCAGTTACTAAAATAATCATCAACCAGTTAATGAATGAGTTATTCATTAACTGGAGTATATAGACTCGAAAAGGCTGTTTGCTGAAAATAAACACATTCAGAGCAGGAATTATGCTGAAATGGGGGATATAGATTTTGAATTGAAGATAAAAACATTTATAAATAGGTTTTTGCTTCTCCTGGTTCAGATTTGCTGCAGGAATTATCATTAAATGACAATTAACTGGTCATTTAATTATTTAAAAAAGGAATTTGATTATTTGCATTATTTAATTAGAGCCTGGATTATTTAGCTAAAATTATGGTGGAAAGAAATCAGCCACTGACCTTTAAAAACAGATTTCTGACCAAAAATTAACATTTTGAATCAGTAATACATGTATTTATACCAATATCACATATCAGTCTCTATGTATCTCTTACTGCTGTTGGATTTAGTGTCAGACGCTCGCTGCATCGCCTGACAGAGATCGGTGGTTTCTGAGGAAACTGAAGTAGTGAAACTTCCTGAAGTGGAGCTGAAACTCTGTGTTGTTGTTGGTGGGAAGGTTGATGATTCAGGAACTGGAAAATATCAGAGACAACCTGGATTTAATTTAAGGAGCTATAAATATGATAAAAACAGCCTGGAAAATCTGAATTATGGGCAGTTATGCAAGTTTGGCTTCCCAGCAAAAATCGTCTCTCATATTTGAAAAGATATAAACCCAAAAAAGGACCCAATAAAAGACTCCATTAGAAATACTCACAACATTATATTTTCAAAAACTCACCCCGAGTGACGATGATGTAAAAGTCTCTGTGTAGATCTGATCGAATCGCTCTGTCCAGTTTACATCGGTACCATCCAGAGTCAGACTGGGTCAGCTGTGAGATGGTCACCAACAGAACTGCTGATTTTCGTCTTCTATCGTATTCAATGCTGTATCTGCCTCTGTCAGCTCCGACTCCATCAGTCTGAACTAGAACTTCATCTTTTCCACATTCTCCTCTGCAGAACAGTCGTTTTCCATCCAGAGTCTTCAAAGGAGCAGGCGACTGTCAGTGAACCGCCGGCGTCACTATGGAGGCGAGGAGCATTGTTCCCATCCAACAGAGCTGTTAGAATAATCATCAGTCAATTATCATCAGTCAATTATCATCAGTCAATGATCATCAGTCAATAATCATCAGTCAATGATCATCAGTCAATGATCATCAGTCAATGATCATCAGTCAATGATCATCAGTCAATAATCATCAGTCAATGATCATCAGTCAATAATCATCAGTCAATGATCATCAGTCAATGATCATCAGTCAATGATCATCAGTCAATGATCATCAGTCAATGATCATCAGTCAATAATCATCAGTCAATAATCATCAGTCAATGATCATCAGTCAATAATCATCAGTCAATGATCATCAGGCAATAATCATCAGTCAATGATCATCAGTCAGTGATCATCAGTCAATGATCATCAGTCAATAATCATCAGTCAATGATCATCAGTCAATAATCATCAGTCAATGATCATCGGTCAATGATCATCAGTCAATTATCATCAGTCAATGATCATCAGTCAATGATCATCAGTCAATGATCATCAGTCAATGATCATCAGTCAATAATCATCAGTCAATAATCATCAGTCAATAATCATCAGTCAATGATCATCAGTCAATAATCATCAGTCAATGATCATCAGTCAATGATCATCAGTCAGTGATCATCAGTCAATGATCATCAGTCAATAATCATCAGTCAATGATCATCAGTCAATAATCATCAGTCAATGATCATCAGTCAATAATCATCAGTCAATGATCATCGGTCAATGATCATCAGTCAATTATCATCAGTCAGTGATCATCAGTCAATAATCATCAGTCAATAATCATCAGTCAATAATCATCAGTCAATAATCATCAGTCAATGATCATCAGTCAATAATCATCAGTCAATGATCATCAGTCAATGATCATCAGTCAATGATCATCAGTCAGTGATCATCAGTCAATGATCATCAGTCAATAATCATCAGTCAATAATCATCAGTCAATGATCATCAGTCAATGATCATCAGTCAATGATCATCAGTCAATGATCATCAGTCAATGATCATCAGTCAGTGATCATCAGTCAGTGATCATCAGTCAATGATCATCAGTCAATGATCATCAGTCAATAATCATCAGTCAATGATCATCAGTCAATGATCATCAGTCAATGATCATCAGTCAATGATCATCAGTCAATGATCATCAGTCAATGATCATCAGTCAGTGATCATCAGTCAATGATCATCAGTCAATAATCATCAGTCAATAATCATCAGTCAATGATCATCAGTCAATAATCATCAGTCAATGATCATCAGTCAGTGATCATCAGTCAATGATCATCAGTCAATAATCATCAGTCAATGATCATCAGTCAATAATCATCAGTCAATGATCATCAGTCAATGATCATCAGTCAATGATCATCAGTCAATGATCATCAGTCAATGATCATCAGTCAGTGATCATCAGTCAATGATCATCAGTCAATAATCATCAGTCAATGATCATCAGTCAGTGATCATCAGTCAATGATCATCAGTCAATAATCATCAGTCAATGATCATCAGTCAATGATCATCAGTCAATAATCATCAGTCAATGATCCAGATATGATGATCCTACAGAAAACATCTGGACTTCGTCTCTTGTTCACAGCATTGAAGGTTTTTTCATGGGAGGGGAAACATCATCCAGCTGCCTTCTGCCAAAACTCTAAGGAAACTCCAGTTTCACCAGAGCTGAACTGGGATCTGCCCAGTTCAGCCAGTTAATCAAACATCTTATCTTATTCTATAAGAGTTTGTAGTTGAAGCTACTTTGAAAATGTGGATTATTAAAAGCAACTGATTTTATTTTCACAACTTTTATTTCAGAGAAAAAACCCCTAAAAAGTACAATATAAGTAACAAACATGTTTGTGGACACAAAGTCCACAGCCATTAAAAACCAGAAGCATGTCTATGTCATTAGATTGACTGAAATAATAATCTGTAATGTTTCCAGCAAAAACCCAAATTTGTGTCGGCTGATTCTCACCGTCTACAACAACCAGCCTGAAGTCCTGAAATGAAGCTGATGATGATGATGAAGAGTTGCCCAAACCACATCGGTACCGGCCGGCGTCGGACCGGGTCAGCTCTGAGATGCTCACAGACAGAAATCCTCCTACATATTCAATGCTGTATCTGCCTGTTTTAGCTCTGTCTCCATCAGTCTCAATAAGAACTTGTTTTCTACATTCTCCTCTGCAGAACTGATGTTTTCCCATCAGAACCAAAGAAACAGGCGACTGTCAGTGAGCTGCCAGCTTCTTTATAGAGGTGATGATCTTTGCTTCCATCCAGCAGAGCTGTTAAAATAATCATCAGTTACTTTCTGACCTCATCATAATAATCTGATCACATTAATCCCAGTGTCACATGGCAGCTGCCCAGTTGAACCAGTCTAAGTCTGGTGATCCAGTTCCACATTTTCTCTGGGATTTTAGCAGCTTTCAGACTCACCTTCAACAACAACCAGTTCAAAGTCCTGGTATAAATATCTGGATGAATATGTCCACAATCCACATCGGTACCGTCCTGAGTCGGACCGGGTCAGCGCTGAGATGCTCACATACAGAACTCCTCTTTCATATTCAATCCTGTATCGTTCACTTCTCGCTGATGTTTTATGTGTTACAATGAGAATGTGTTTTTCTTCTTCACAGTTTTCCCAGCAGAAGATCTTCCATCCTCCAGATGAAGGAAAGGAATATCTAATGTTAATTTCTTGTCCAGAAACTTGATAAAAACGCTTCACAGACTCATCGGTTCTGCTGTTGGTGATGTGCAGAGCTGCAGAACAGACCAACAGTTAATGTCAGGACTTCCTGTTGTTCTGATTCAGTTATGGACCGGCTCCAAGCGAGAGCAAAACCTCACGTCTCTGTAATAAACTCCTGATGAATTTCACCTTCAACCCCAAGAATCCAAACATTAAAACTAAGAAGTTCTGAAACGATCCGATTGGAAACGTGGAAATGATCAAAATTAGATTCCAAGCTTAAATGTTGCAGCTTTAATGTTCAGGAAGCAGAAACATCTCAACAAGCCTCTGTTTTGCTCTGGTTATTTTAAAACTTCATCTTCCTGTTTTAAAGCCGACCAAACGCTCAGCTGCCTGCTGAAGTTTTACAGTTTCTGTTT